AGTGTTAGTTAAGCCCATATTCCCGTTGACCTGCTACTTTCTCTTTCCAATGTAATCTGCCATGATCAATTTAATATGCATATAGGTGAACTATTGACCCGAGATCGGTCCAATGGCTATGCGCAGCTTCCCACAGATTTGGACCAATGGTTTTGCTTAAGAGTCCCACTGATTTTGGTGGGACCTAAGTATAAAAAAGGTGTTTTACTCCATCCACAGTTGTCTCAACTTCGTATCATAACGTAGTTATAATTGGTACCGGTAAGTCCCGCATCTATTTTGCATAGATTATTACCTGACCTGTGACATAATATATAAGAAGATGTGGTATGAGTGGCAATGAGATAACTCTCCATCCAAGTCACAATTTGTAAAAGTAAACCATTATAGGTTAAAGTACAGCCTTCAACATGGAGCCTTGGCTCACACCGAACAGCAAGCTATAAAGGGCCCCAAAAATGACTAGTGTAAAACAATTCAAACAGGAAAACCAACGGTCTTATCTATATCAAAAATGAGAAACACTTATGAACCACATCAATAAACGACAACCACTGAACATCAGGTTCCTGACTTCGGACAGGTGCATACAAATGCAGCGGGTTTGAACGTTTTATCTGGCGCCAACCTTCACCCTAACCTGACACAGTGGTGTAACAATACCACATAAAAAGACACACTATAAAACATTAATTGAAATAAACTGCTTCGCTGAGCGCAGCTGGATACGCCCGCAGAGGTCCAACCCTGAACAGTTGGAGCAAAAATGGACACAATATTCAAGCTTGATACAGGTCTGAATTTGGTATGTAATTAAATATTTGACATATTATAGGTTTCTCAATAAATGTAGTCAAAGAACTTGAAATTGGTTATATGAATTGAATTTGTATTCAATTAAAGATTTCTTGCTGTTGTGCAATACACTGTGCTGTTGCGCAATACTTAGTAAATCTGTTGTCAAGACTATAAACAAATAAAGTTCAATTTCTTCTCAATGTCATATTTGAAATTTATGAAAATCAATAGGGAGATTACATCAATAGCTTTAAATAATTCACCAAAGTTTCATGAGAACTACTGAAAGCATTTTTGAGTTATTGTCAAAAAACTTGAAAATCCCCCCTTTTTTAATGAATAAAACCCCATAACTCAGAAATGTAAAATCTAAAATTTATAAAATTCTAAAGGGAGCTTACATCAACAGATATAAACAATTCACCAAAGTTTCATGAGAACTGCTGAATTCATTTTTTAGTTATTGTCAGAAAACTGGAAAATCACCCTTTTTTTATGAATAAAACCCTGTAACTCGGAAAGGTAAAATCTAAAATTTATAAAAATCGAAAGGGAGCTCATGTCAATAGATACAAACAATTCACCAAAATTTCTTGCAAGTTGGTTAAAGCATTCTTGAGTTATTGTCGGAAAACTGGAAAATCCCCCCTTTTTTAATGAATAAAACCCCAAAACTCAGAAACGGTAAATCTGAAATTTATAAAAAACGAAAGGGAGCTCACGTCAATAGATATAAACAATTCACCAAAGTTTCATGCATATTGGTTAAAGCTTTTTTGAGTTAATGTCCGACATGTTGACGACGGACGGACGGACAGACGTAAACGGGCGTATAAAAAGGCTCAACTCATCAAAGTATGAATTCTAACAGATTTTAGACAAAAATTAGACTATGAAAACCAAATTACCAAATAGTTAAATTATAAACCACAGAAAAATATATCAAAGCCAAAACCAGTATGAAATAATTTTGCCACACAACAAGTCACATATTGACCACTCAAAAAGAGCTTGTTGAGAAGGTCCGAGTACACAGTTATCGTCCTTTGATTTTCGTTGTCCACGAATAAAGTCCCTAGTGTGGACAGTGTGTTGCTTGCCAATTTTTTTAGTACCACTTTCAAATGTATTTCTTCATGTTTTATGCCTCAAATAGCAAGTTGGGGGATGAAATTACACTGTAACAAAATTTGGGTCATGAATTGTAAAGTAAAGTAGTGATTTGGTCCAGCTGAAAAAGGTTAAAAATTAGCACTTCGGAAGCTGTCAAAAGATTTCAAGACCCCCTTAACATAGAATTGTCCATATTTTGAGTTAGAGCCGATGAAGTTTTCTATAATTTTGATATAATTTGTCCCAAAAGGAGTACAACACACTGTAAAAATATTATTGAGAAAGCGCAGGTGGGATTTTTTTTATTTTCATTTATTGTCTAAAAGAAATGCACTACGAAATAACTGTGTACTCGGACCTAAGAGGCGAAATCAGTAAATATAGAATCTGTAATTGGCAACTTCCCTGAATGATTTAATGGTGTCAATTTGTCAAATAGCATGAAACTAAAGGATTTAAACTTTTATTTGATAGAAATTCTGCAAAAATTACCCATTTTGGCATTATATGGTCAAAATAGGCATTTCAAAGCTTTTTCAATTTTGATGCATAAGTGGCATTCTGACTTTCTATGTGACAGGTTTTCCTGTGTCAATATTTGTGTTTCTATGCTTTAACCCAGTTGAATTACTCATTTGTGAACTCTGAATCTACAGAAAAGAAGATTATCTCGGACAATATGTGCAAAATGTGTTGTATAAATGACCCTCGTCTAACGGCCTGTTTGGATCAAGTTAAATGTGAGGACCTTGGTACATAAAAGTTGAAGTCCATAATAAAGATTTCACTAAATTTGTATTAAAAGCACTTCACAATGTCTTTTGTATCTGTTTCATTTCACATAGTATCTTTCTTTTCTTATGTTAAATAGCAAGTGGTTCAAATATAAGCCTGTCAAGGCTAAAATTGCATGCAAGTTTTTCACTAAAAAGTGAAAAATCTTTGTATCAGACCATACTGTCTGCAAAAAAGTTGAATGCAAGAGTCCTTTTATGCTCAGATTTATTGTATCATGTAACCTGAGTATAGAAATTATAAAAAAGACACAAATTTTTATTTCCTATAGCTTCAGTATGCATTTTTAAATGTAAATATGTGCTACGGCCTAAATTGACCCTAAATTATTTTCAGTCTTACTTGGCTTAAGACCCTTTTATACTAATATGGTATGCTATTTGTGATTTTTCTTTCCATTTAAAGTACATTTAATACATATGTAAGGATTATTTATAACCAAAAAACTTCACAAATTTAAAATTGCTGGAAAATATTACATCTTCATGTAAGGCCCCCCTTCATTGGAAAACCTCCATTTTTTGGCACAGGCTCATATAAATTTGACTTTTAAATAATTGTGATAAGTCTGATAAATCAAATGAGTATTCTATTGCTTTAAATACATAATATGTCATATATTAAGGCATTTAAAATGTAATTTTTTGCAATATTTTAATTTTTAAAGCCCCAAATGTTGATAGTTGAAATTTTTCAATTTTAACGTCAAAATTTAACACGCGAAGTTGAATATAGAATTTATCATATTGTCTATAATATATATCCTATTGCCATGAAACTTTGTCAGCAGTCTCATAATTTATTAAGCTTTGGTCATACCAAGTTTTATTAAGATTGGTCAAATTTTTCTATCCTATTAGGTCCGAGTACACAGTTATCGTCCTTTGATTTTCGTTGTCCACGAATAAAGTCCCTAGTGTGGACAGTGTGTTGCTTGCCAATTTTTTTAGTACCACTTCCAAATGTATTTCTTCATGTTTTATGCCTCAAATAGCAAGTTGGGGGATGAAATTACACTGTAAAAAAATTTGGGTCATGAATTGTAAAGTAAAGTAGTGATTTGGTCCAGCTGAAAAAGGTTAAAAATTAGCACTTTGGAAGCTGTCAAAAGATTTCAAGACCCCCTTAACATAGAATTGTCCATATTTTGAGTTAGAGCCGATGAAGTTTTCTATAATTTTGATATAATTTGTCCCAAAAGGAGTACAACACACTGTAAAAATATTATTGAGAAAGCGCAGGTGGGATTTTTTTTATTTTCATTTATTGTCTAAAAGAAATGCACTACGAAATAACTGTGTACTCGGACCAGAAGGATCTTTAACCCGCAAAGAGCGTGGTACTCCCTGAACACGGGACCTCAGATTTAACATCCCCATCCGACGGACATTAGTTAAACCTAGTTCACACGCAAATAAACAAATACTACATCCGTAAAGTACATTTTTACTACGCCTGTGAATACTTCAAATAGGGGGGAACCAGCATTATTCAAGTTGCTCATTACGGTTTTTATATACAGTTATCTGGTTATACTGAATTGATATTTATATGCTTGAGTAAATATTGAAACAAAGCAAACCTTTCTTATTTGTTGAATTCTGATCTCCTGCTTAGTTAGAGGAGATTGTCCTGCTACCAATGAACATATATATTTATACCAATATTACTGTGAAGTAACCATGTTACCAATGGTTTAGATATATATTTTAACTCTACCTGCTACCAAGGTTTTATATAATACATAGATTTTGTATTCGAGAATCTGAACCCCTATACCTCAGGTGTAACAATATTTGTGTGTAGCATTTACATTTATTTAACTTTAAGAGAGGTTAGTCTGAAATTATCTTTCAGTACTTGGCTAACCTCTACAAATACTGACACGTATCCTCGTCTCATGGGTTTTCGTGCTATTAAGAATGCATTGTGATGTCAATTTCCATTGAAAAAGCATGCATAGTTCGAATTCATTTAACTTACAAAAACATATGATCTGACCATACCTTCAGAATTAATACATGAAATACAAGAGTTTACCAGAAAGATTCCAGAACTGTACAACAACATGGCTCTTGGATTGTGAAAAACTAATTTCAGTCCTGAAATGATCGGGTAGGCTGTTTCAAATAGTATTTAGCAGCTGCAAATCTAATACTTTTTCTTCTTATGTCCTTAAAGTTATGAGGCCAATGATGAAGGGAATATCAAAAGTTACAGAAAAGTTCTCAACTTATACTGGACACTGTTTGTGCTTATGCTGGTTATTGCAAGAACGTCAATATCCTACTTACATAATCTAACAGACTAACACGTAGTTAAGATTGAAAAGAATGATATAACAGCAACTCTTTACATGTTGGAGCAGTGAAACTGAAATCCTGTTCGTCTGCAATGCCCGTTCCATTTAGTTCGATACGATTTCCCGCCAAATTTCATTTTCTGTGAATTCAGGTTTAGGTAGTTTAGGTAGTGTGACCCTGATCTCAATAAGTCGCATTCGATTCAATAAATTTTAACACAGGAAACATTGGAATTTCTATCTTTTATTTTTCCCAGCCCACCTAAGATTAATTCAAGACCCCCTTCCAAAGACCTGAAAATGTCAACCCCCCAACATTTCTCAATACTTTTATACTTTGTAACAACTTGAACTACATGCATATTTCTATTTATATCATTAGTGATCACTAGTGGTGGATCTAGAGCTTAAAGTGGGGGAAGTTGTTTGTGACTTCAGGGTACTTTATTTGGATATAAATGGAAATGACTTCGGGGGGGGGGGGGGGGTACTTGAATACTTAATTGATAAAGGGCCACGGTGGCGCTGGGATTCTGTTACCCCACCCTTTTCATATAATTTAGATTTTAAGAATACCTTTTCATATATTTCGTAGGTTAAAATGTAACCTTTTCCCATATTGGTTGGGTTTCGTGTGGTGTGTGGGAAAAGTGGACTACCAAAGGCTCAGATTCCTTATGTAATGTTTATTTACGGAGAGACTTTCGGTTGTGAAAAAAAAAATACAGGGCTTTTCATATAACAAGTAATGGGAGCCTTATTGACCTTAATATATTTCTGATAGTTTTCCCCACCTATTCATATATTTTCAAGCTAAAAAAAAATGTGACCGATTCCAGCGGCACGTCCTATCACCTTGTATATAGGAAGTGAACCCCCCCCCCCCTCCCCCCGAGGGAAATGATGAGATGTACGTGTGATATGATTGCCAATGAGACAACTATCCAACAGAGTTAAAACAGTGAAGTGATAGTAAGCAATCATAGGCCACCGTACAGCCTTCAACAATGAGAACCACTCTGTACAGTCGTCTATAAAATTGTCGACATGAAAAATGTTAAACAATTAAAACGAGAAATTTAACGGCCTTATTTATAACAAAAAAAAATTAGGAAAAACAAATACATTTTGTACATAAATTAGGTATAATGTCCGCCGCGGCTGTAAAGCAAAATATTGTCCTATGAAATATAATTGTCCCCAAGACAATATTTCATGACTATATATCATGAAATATTGTCCTCATCTAAAAAAATGTCCAGAGAAGGACAAATTTCCATTATGAAATTTTGTCTGTATATAGACAATATTTCATAGATGAATACTAATCTATGAGATTTTGTCCTGTTACACATGTAAAGGGAGGTTATATTTTGTGTATATTGAGACAATATTTCATAGACATATTGTCATGAAATTTTGTCTTCACAAAAAGGAGGTATTATTAAAGGATATTCCAGTTACTCCTGTACCCCCAAAACGCCGTTGCAAAACGATTCATCAATCTAGTATTTACGAATACTATTAGAACATTCAATTTTGAACATATATAAAGTGATTGTCAGTACATTACTTATATTTATACAGTATAATGTAGTACAATGGAACATTAGGTAAGACAATTCTTTAATATATCAACCATTTATAAAGTATCTATGCAAATTGAAACTAGCTTAATATGTCTAGAATAAATATTTGTTTGAAATATAAAATATATACTTGCATGCTTTACAAAACAATTTCAGTTATAAATCTAAAAATGTGCATGTTTCATGCTCGTGTACTGTTTTTATACGACCGCAAAATAAATTTGAGGTCGTATATTGGTATGACGTTGGCGTAGTCTTCGTCGTCGTCGTCGTCGTCGTCGTCCGAAGACACATTGGTTTTCGCACTCTAACTTTAGTTTAAGTGAATGGATCTCTATGAAATTTTACAATAAGGTTCAATATCACAAAAGGAAGGTGGGGATTGATTTTGGGGGTTATGGTACAAACAGTTAGGGAGTTAGGGGCCAAAAAGGGGCCAAAAATAAGCATTTTTGTAACTTCCAGAAATTACTTGTGTGTTAGTGTATGGATCTCTCTGACATTGTGCCACAAGGTTCCATATCACAAAGGGAATGCTGGGATTGATTTTGGGGGTAATTGCCTCCAAATTTTAGGAATTAGGGGCCAAAAAGGGGAAAAAAACAAGCATGTTTCTAGTTTCATGACAATAACTTGTGTGTAAGTGTATGGATCTCTCTGACATTGTACCACAAGGTTCCATATCACAAAGGGAATGCTGGGATTGATTTTGGGGGTAATTGCCTCCAAATTTTAGGAATTAGGGGCCAAAAAGGGGAAAAAACAAGCATTTTTCAGTTTTATGACAATAACTTGTGTTCAAGTGTATGGATCTTTATGAAATTGTACTACAAGGTTCCATATCACAAAGGGAAAGCTGGAATAGAGTCTGGGGGTAATTGCCCAAAACGTTTAGGAATAAGGGGCCAAAAAAGGGCCGAAAATAAGCATTTTTCTAGTTTCCAGACAATTACTTGTGTTCAAGTGTATGGATCTCTCTGAAATTGTACTGCAAGGTACCATACCACAAAGGGAAGGCTGGGATTGATTTTGGGGGTAATTGCCTCAAAATTTTAGGAATTAGGGCCAAAAAGGGGGAAAAAACAAGCATTTTTCTAGTTTCAGGACAATAACTTATGTTTTAGTGTATGGATCTTTATGAAATTGTACTACAAGGTTCCATATCACAAACGGAAAGCTGGGTTTGAGTTTGGGGGTAATTGTTCTAAACGTTTAGGAATTTGGGACCAAAAAGGGGCAAAAAAACAAGCATTTTTTCTAGTTTCCAGACAATAACTTGTGTTCAAGTGTATGGATCTCTCTGAAATTATACTGCAAGGTACCATACCACAAAGGGAAGGCTGGGATTGATTTTGGGGGTGATGAATCATAAGGGGGTTCAAAAGATTTGGGGGGGATTTTTTTTTTTCCTTTTTTTCTTTAAAATTTTCCATTTTAAATTGCTTATTTCTGATTTATATATAAAAGCAAATAATAATGATATGGTTTGAATAGGTAATTTAAATTTTTTTATGTTCTTAGACCACATACATTCTGTGTCAGAAACCTATGCTGTGTCAAATATTTTATTACAATCCAAATTCAGTGCTGTATCAAGCTTGAATGTTGTGTCCATACTTGCCCCAACTGTTCAGGGTTCGACCTCTGCGGTCGTATCAAGCTGCGCCCCAGCGGAGCATTTTATTACGTATATATTGGTATCACATCGTCGTCGTCGTCCGAAGACAGTTGGTTTCCGGACAATAACTTTAGTATAAGTGAATAGAAATCCATGAAATTTTAACTCAAGGTTTATAACCACAAAAGGGATTGATTTTGGGGGTAATGGTCCCAACAGTTTAGGAATTAGGGGCCAAAAAAGGGGCCCAAATAAGCATTTTTGTAGTTTCCAGACAATAACTTGTGTTTTAGTGTATGGATCTCTCTGAAATTATACCACAAGTTTCCATACCACAAAGGAATGGTTAGGATTTACTTTGGGGGGTTATGGCTCAAACCATTAAGGAATTAGGGACAAAAAAGGGGGGAAAACAAGGGTTTCCTGGTTAATGGACTATTAATACAATTTTAAAGCAGTGTAAGGGAGGTAATCCAAATACATTTAAAGAACAATGTTGTGTATGTTTTAGATTACCTCCCTTACACTGCTTGTAAATTATGTATAAATAAATAATGTATTGTCTCTAGGTGATTTATATAGCTGTCAATTTATCTTTAGAAGTAACTATTAATTAATATCAATTTTAGATATAAGAAATTGTGGGAGGGGTCAATTTTTTCTCCTTTCAGATTTCAGAAATTAAAAAGAAAATTTCTTCAAATATATTTTTTTTTGCTAAAAAAAGGGCCGGGGGATGGGAGTTCAATACTCAACAGCATAGTGTATTGCACAAAAGCGAAAAAAAGTGGGTAAATTAATTTTTTTTGGTGGGTGGGTCAATTCGCAACAGCAAAGTGTATTGCACAAAAGCAAAAAGTTTAATATAAATTCAAAATTATATAACCAATTATAAGTTCTTTGACTACAGTTATTCTGTGTCAGAAACCTATTATGTGTCAAATATTAAATTACAATCCAAATTCAGACATGTATCAAGCGCGAATATTGTGTCCATTTTTGCCCCAACTGTTCAGGGTTGGACCTCTGCGGTCGTATCCAGCTGCGCTCAGCGAAGCAATTTAATAATTTTGTAATAATTTTATTAAGAAATATTTTCATGGACAGTATTTCACAGTGAAATATTGTCATGGACAGAATTTCACAGTGAAATAATATCATAGACAGTATTTCATAGTGAAATATTGTCATGGACAGAATTTCATAGTGAAATATTGTCCTAAAGAAGGTGACAAAATTTCATGGACAAGGACACTATTTCATAATGAAATATTGTCCTGGACAGTATTTCATCATGAAATAATGTCTGCGGACAATATTTTATATGAAATTTTGTCCGATGGACAATATTTCATGGGGGACAATATTTTATGTTACAAGGCAACGCTGAGAAGCAGACAGACTCATCGCGCACAAATTACACCCACAATCATGATTGTCAACCCTGGAGCAAAGCAGAACCCCAAAACGTCTAGATCTTCGATGTGATGCTCCACTTCGGTTACACTGCCCCGTTGATAAATCCACAACGAAAACAAACACAGGGAAAACAAAGAAAATTCAAGACAAGGATCCTAGTCATTAACCGTCTTTGCCACCCATTAACGTCGGAATTTCTTCAGGCGTTGCAAAACTTCTTTGAAATTTCTTAACTTCACACAATGCAACATGACTTAGGGGAGTGTATAGGAGCCGGGAGGCAAGGGGGATATATATATATATATATATATATATTGGGAAGTATGATTCTACTTGCATGAATTCGATAAAAGAAAATGTTATTTCACAACCACCATTCTGCGGTAATATTGTCTTTTTTAAATTTAGATGTTGTCTTTTATATGCTTTCTCTTTAGCTTTATCGACTTATTGATAAAGGTTCTACTTATATCAAAATAAGGAGATGTGATATG